ATACAGAGATACGTCATTGTACTGAAATAATATTAATTACAACCATTTTCACAAAATCTCTTATATATATAATTTTTACTATCATATTTAACTTTAGCCTATTATATATATCAGTAAGGACACCTAACCGACACCTTTCCACTCGTTCTTACTTTGAAATTATTACTATTTTATTGCCAATATGCTATTAGAAAAAACAAGAACTGACCAGTACATACGCCATAAGATCATTCAAGAGCCCGATTAATTTTGATTTTCCAACTTTCGTTCGAAAATTAATAAAACAACTTTCGTTCGAAAGTCAAAATTAAAAAGACAACCTTCGTTCGGGAGTCAAAAATAAAAATATGAACGAAACTCAATCGGACCGTGGCGCAGTGCGTTCGAGAGGCACGGGAACCGAACCATCCCGCTTTGAACTTGCGGGCCGAAGGCGGGCGCGGGCTGCAGACTACGGCGAGACAACCTCCGATTTTAATTAGGGACCGCGTCGAATGGCGTCTCGAGGGCCGTCGAGCGGACGTAAAACGAGCCGAGCGAAATAGCTGGCGGATGGGGGGAGGCTTATTAGTGCTGAGACAGGAGCCGTTTTATCGGCGATCGTGCTCGAAGGCGCATTCCGATAGCCGGCCGCGGCCGGTTTACGAGGCGGCCGTTAATGACACGCGGTAACGACCGGGGATCGATTCACGACCTATTTTACTATCGGTGCGCGATTCCAACTATACAGGCCGCGCGGAAAGCACTGCTCGATGTTTTTCATTAAAACTGTTATAACGTATATATATAACACGTTCGCTATAATAATTATTCGAATAACAAAACTGTTGGAAGCCTTGAGGTTTTTATGTGGACTAAATCACTCTCTTATCTTATTTGTAATCGTAATGTCCGAATTAATTTCCTCACAAATTGAAAACAAAATTGACAAAAAATAAAAAAAATACTAGCTTCATATGTCTTTGTAAATTATCGTGCCAATTTATCACAATGGTCTTGGAGATATGACAAAATAATCTGATTATTGCTGATACATCTGAGTAATGGATGGAATTTACTTCTTATTATGAAAAAATAAATATTACTAGAGTTTATTCACAATAAAATTTATGATGACTCCATGTCGGGGGTCGTGGGTTCGATTCCCACACGGGACAACTATTTGTGTTGCCCACAGATATTTGGTTCTGGGTGTTTGTCCGCGTGAAATTTGTGTTTGTAAAATGTCCTTACAACACAGGATAATATTATACTAAATGTTTTTTTTATATTAATAAAAAAAAATAAAAATAACATGTTTCAACAAAAGCTTAACTAGTAAACAACAAAAGCTATATCTAATCAAAAGAATTTAAAAGTTTTTAGATTTAATAAGATATTTTTAGTTAAATTAACAATGAAACGAAATATAATTCTTTCTTTAATTAATTAAACAATTTTTAAAATTTTTAAAAATTTTTAAATTTTAAAAATTTTAACACAATTTTAGGGTCGCTTGCAAAATACCACACGTTAATAACTGGTCTTGGTTTTAGTATTGCGACCTCGTTCGTCAGATAACTGGCTGCTTCTTGCTCTACAACCGATACAAACAATAAAAAAAATTGCGCTTTCTTTTCTCTTTTCAAGTATTCTGATCAATATGTGCGCGTTACGAATCTTTAATAAAAAACGTTCGGTGTTGTTAACATTGTACTGGAATAGAAATAATAAAACATACTCATAACTTAAAATAAACGATGCCCCATCAATCTCTTGATATCGTTCTATGCTTTTCTTGCTGAAACATCGTTGTTGCAGTTGATCTCGTGACAAAATCAGCACGACAGAACGGATAATGACTATTGGAAATCCTGACAGTGAGTTATCATAATAATTTTATCTTACACCTTTATTGATCGCGTGTACATTTCTTACTATTACAGTATCTTATATCGTTTTTAGATTATCACTATCAATGTTTTTTCATGAATATTTTAAGCAATACAGAATCTTAACCATTGGAATGATTAATAATCGGAAATCTGTGGAAACGGACACATATTAAGAAAAAATCTTTAAATAAAAATACAGTTTCCTGTTTTAGTTCCGTTCAACGAAGTAAAAACTTGAGCTAACTGTAAGCAATATTTGCATATAATGAATGTTTATTTTTTTTTTGTTACACCAAAAAGATGAACACTAAATTTAGACAATTTATACGTAATATGTTAATAACGGGCTTGGTGATCGGCCAATCATCGGCCAAAATAACAGGCTTTAACAATTTTATTTTCCAAATATAGCTGTTCTCAACTCCAATTTTTTATTTCTTTAATTTGATAATTTATGATTGATAAAAATGTGATTATCTATAAAATTGACAATATTTTAATTTATGAGTAAATACATCCGCATTAAGTAAATACATCCGCCAGCATTTAAAAAATCAATGTAAAGATAACGGTAGCTCCGATCAATTTAAAAAAAATGTGAAAAATACACTTAAAAGAGACTATATTAAATTACCTTTCACTGAAAACCTAAAAATTACTATATTCCTTTCGTATTATCAATTCAATTCGTACCTCAATCTGTTTGTAAATCAATTGAGTAAAAGTAAAGTAACAGCCTATAAATGTCCCACTGCTGGGCAAAGGCATCCTCTGTAAAGAGGGTATCAGGACATAGTACACCACGCGAACCCACTGCGGATTCATATTATAATATTATATTATCATATGATGATACGATATTTGAAGGATATCAAGTCTCAAACTTATGTGTTTTATTTCAGATACCATAAACCTATAGTTTCAATGATAAAAATTCCTGCATAACCTACATGTATTGTAAGATTTTAAACAATATTAGCTTCTCATATATTCAATAAACGAAAAAAAAAATGATTTCTTACCGGTCACCACGCTCAAAAAGTGTAACTTGAATTAATATCAAAGAAAAAAAAAATAATTATAATTGCATAAGTTGTTAAAACATGCTATGCAATAGCTTTACCGTCCCAGTCCCCGAGGGCCATAGTTTTAGTATTATTTCGAAAATGTCCTTCACTCAATTTTCCTTTATCTTTCAATTTTGTTTCACCGCCAAGCACGTAATAATTCAGCACTTAAAATTAATAATTTATAATTATAAATTAATAATTCATTGGTGCTGTCACCGAGGATCGAACTCAGGTTGCTCGAGTAAATGTAATTAAAGGCGAACGCACGGACACTGAGCTATCACGGCTATAGATACAATAAATTACAAATAATTTTTCCAAAATTATGTGGTAAAATATAGTACACAAAAAATCATTTATCAGGTTAATTTACATCCTTATTAAAGTAAATAAGGCATTTTATTAATCGATACATATTTTTTTTGAATATTCATTCTTGTAAACTAGATAATGACAGTTAAAGAATTAATATATCTATATATGTATCATAAATAAAATGTGTTTCCTCTCCACGTATTTTTATCGCTATCGCATATATGAGAATCTGGACCGGACAGGCGACTAGCGGAAAATAAAAGTTAGTCTTAGGTAAAGAACTCACCCAATGTGTTTCGCCAATTTCCCACGAACGGAAATCACTGGCGTGTCGAAAAAATCGCATACATGGTCCAATTCGCACGCCCAACACTATTGGAGTGCTCATCATAAAGCAAAAAAATCATCCATTCTATCTGACAGATAAATGGTAGATTAGACAAAGAGAAACAATAATTTCCGATAGTATAATCATCCTTCATAAAATAATCGTAATCGTAAAACGGAATCAATAACGCGAACTACGTGACATGTACAAAGTGAGATTTCGTGGATAACATTAATTTATTATATGCATCTAATTACATCTAAGTCGCCGTCTGCTATGTTCGAGTTGAACGAGTTTGAATCTGCTGGTAAATTAAAATTTACGAGCAAAGCATTGAGTGTCATTCAAATTGTATTTATTTATCCCATAAATATGTTGTCGGCCAAATACAGATGAGATTAACACGGTACAACCTAGGACTGCATAGCTTGCAGTGGCCATGTTCCAAATTTAAAGTATTTCTAGTGAATTTAATCTACGCTATGCACATCTCGAAATAACAGGTTTTTTATACTACTTTACTTTAAAACATTCATGACTGACAGCAGTAGATAATACCGGGGAATCATATAAGAATCGTTATGTAACTTTAAAATATTTTGAGTTTTAGGGTCTAAAAATGTAAGCATTTGCAACAATGATTTAGTTGTTCACTTCCTTATTAAGCAAGTTCATAACAATCAGACTATAGACACTGATGTGAGACACTGATGTGATCTACCAATCAAGTCAACAATTCAATTATTTGGTATTTTATTTACTTAGCTAAAAGTCAAAAATCAAATCACTATATTCAATTTAAGTTTAATTCAAAAAATATCAGCAACCAAAAGACTTGCATTTGCAATGCCCTAAAAATCCTTGTTTCAATATTCTTGCAGTAATTTTCAATGAAAATAGTTAATATTTAATTATTTGAATAAATATATAAAATTAACAGAAAATCTAAAATCCTTACATTAAAAAAATTACCTAAATGGGCGTAAAATAACAGTGACTTAGCCAAATTACCGACTAATGTGTTTTGAAAAATCTTAAAAAATATTCCATAAACAACAATGTCAAATTCTTATATCTTATCATTCCACTTAAGATAATAATTTCGTCATATCAACGTCTTAAAAATGACACTTTTCGCTCAAATTTTGTCTCCAAATCGTTTTTTGTCTTCCAAAATCCATATATCTCAGTTTTTTAATATCCATATATCTTAATTATTTGCTTTTACAGATTTCTCTAAAATGATAGTTTCGAGATGAATGGAAAAGCTTTCCCTAAACTCTCGAATCCAACTAACAAAAATCCTCCAGTTTGAATGTGTGTTGTAATGTAAAATAAAGAAGGTTTTACGATACAACGTTGAAGAAACAAGAAACTATTTTCATTTACAATTATACAAATAAACAGACCTACCTTTAGTTTCTTCATTATTCGTTGATATTTCACCGCCTCGTTCATTTGCTGTGAAAAAAATAAAAAATTGTAAATATATAGGTAAATAAATGAAACTTTTGTAAAAAAAGTCAGCTCATAATCTTATCTCTTTAAACGAGCAATTCTTGTATAATCGGAATCTCGGAAACGGCTCCAACGATTTTCATAATATTTTGGTATGCAGGGGGTTTCAAAATAGACAGCCGTTAATGGGTGGAAACTAGGAATATTATAAACAATATTTTCATTGGTACCTACAAAAACTTCATGACTGCTTTCTGTCTTCACTCTTCTTTTTATAACCTAAGGCTATTTTTCCATCAAATAATGTACAACGGTCAAACTCAAGAACACAAAGTTAGCTTTTCAAAATCATAATAACTACGTTCTTTACTAACATTATATCTCTACAAACGTATCGAAGTATCAATATCAGTTAACAACTAACTAAACAGATATGCGCCACAAAAATGTCACAGAACCCTCTATGAAAAATATGAATGCGTACCCAAATGTTAGCTCTTTTAGAAGACATGAGTATTTACAATAATTTAAACTATTGCTCCATTTACTTCATGCTTAAATACGCTCAAAGCTAAAAATATGATCAATCCCACTCCAGCTGCTCTACCCAAGAAACTTCAAAAACATTTCATTGCCAAGTCATATGTATAGAACTCTTTTAAACTTTTTGAGAGAAATATCTCTTAATGACAATGTGTATAAAAAGTCTGGATTCGTTCTCGTTATCCTTTCTTAGTTCATCTATCGTCTTTCAGTTTCATTCTTAACAATTATAGATGGCCGTTAACTATGTGCAGGCTAATCTTGCGGTATTTTTAAAATGATTCTATGTGAAATATTAATAATATTAATTTGCAAGCGCTAAAGTGGGCCTCTTTAATCTCTCAAATCTTTTTAATCACTGTATCTACATGAATTTCTTTGTGTGTGTGGCGGACAATTAGATAAACGAAGCAGTTACTACGACGAATATATCTTGTAATTGCCAAGTGACGTCAGTTCCGCAAGATACCATGCAAGCAACAACTATAATGAACCACGTGAAACAGTCACAATATTAAGAGTTAAAAGTTCTTATTATTAATTCTCTTCGAAGCAATCTCTACCATCATTTATACAAAGTTGCATGTGGACCAGTTGCGGAATCACTTTTCTAAATGCCCACAAAAATTCCTTTAGAACGCCTTCCGACGATTTTGTATGACATATGAAAATGTGTTCAGTGAATCACAATATTTTAATGTAGCTCGTAAAAATTTTGATGGAAATTTAAAAAATCAATAATATTAAATAATCTTACTTCTCAAATAGTTTCTAAGCCTCTTTACAAAACAAGTTTTCATATTTTATTTCTGTTTTATCTGTTATTCTGACAAGTTATCTGTTTTATCTACATCTGATATAAAATATCAAAACATGTGATGGACGTATTTATTAGATTCATCAACATCATCATTTCAGCTTAGGTGCGTCCACTGCTGAACATAGACCTCCCCTACAAACTGCCACAAAGCATGATCCTGAGCCACCTGCATCAGTCTTCAGTACCAGACTACATACACATGAATAATATAATCTGCCTTTATGCTTTGCGTTCGATATGTGGACTATGAGAAAGCCTTGGATTCTGTCAAAATTTGGGCGATACTCTGAACTATTCAGCGGTGCCAAATTGACTGTCGGTATATCGAGGTGTTGAGGTGTATACGTAAATGGGATACGATGTCCGAGTACAGCCCTATAGTACAAAACCTATACGAGTGCAGAATGGTTTAAGACAGGGAGATATCATACCCCCGATACGCGTCACCGCTGCATCGAAGGATGTTTTCAAGCTACTCGACTCGAAAGCAAATTGAATTAACATCATTTGCGAATACATGATCGAATACTGACCTTAACAGTATTTCCCAACGGGTGGGCTTTAAGATGAACACGGACAAGACGAAGATCATGTCAAATGTCCATGTCACGCCTATGCTGGTTGTTATTCGGGGCACTGTGCTCGAAGTTGTTGAGGAGTACGTTTACCACGAGCCGTCATAACTCAGTGTCTGGGCGCTCGCCTTTAATTCAATATACTCGAGCAACCTGAGTTCGATCCTAGTTGCCGGCAACAAAGGCCAACAAAGGCCGTGCTCCGCGGTGAAATAAAACATCGTGAAGTAACCAGCATATTTTCGAAATTATTACAAAAAAATATTTTGAAGATATGTGAAGTCCGCTAATCCGCAGTGCGGCCGCGTGGTGTACTACTCTAAAACCCTCTGATAGAGGAGGCCTTTGCCCAGCAGATGGATATGTATTAGCTGATACTTTACTTTAATAAGATCATCAGCAGATTTTTCTTGTAAAATGAAGGGTGCAAAATGCTTTTTCATTACGTGAAAATAGCTATCAACTCACACCTCTCACCTGAAGGAACTTTTTAAAAATAAAATTAAACGATAAATACTGCAGTTGATAATCTTATCTGTACACCTTTGAAACCTAATCGGATTTACATGTTTCTATTATATACGAATTATCAGTAATTCTAAACTTAACACATCACCGTCTAAATTATCGAATATCATAATCGAAGTATATTGATGGAAAAAAAAGTATTTAGTCACCAAATGCCAAACTATCGTTATTATTGTTAGAATTGTTTCTGTATTCTAGTTACTTTATCATTTCCCAGTCAAACTACGCGTGAAGCAACATGTTTTTTATATTTTCTTCATTTTACTTTTTTAACTTTGATTCTTTTGATTGTGTTATTGCAGTAAGCAATGTGCGACGGCATCGAGCCCCCAATATCTCTAAACAATATCAAAACATCTTGTGACGCAACGGTAAAGACACGCCCGAACACCTTTCCACCTACTTATAGTCTCGATAATAGGTAGAGGCACGCGACAGGACACCGGAACAAAGAAGTAGTGCACACAAGCCATCATTACCAAATCGAAGAAAAAGAAGTCAGCGGCAGCTGCCTTCCTACTTCCTCTCCATACAAAACTGCGTAATACAAGACGAGTGCTTTGTGCGGCGGTTTATTTTAGGGCTCATTCATTACGGCACTCAATTTGGCGCGTGTTCTTATCTGTGTGTTTGTAGATACGTTTTGTGTTGTAGATGAGTGCGTGAGTTGCGTGAGCGACGCGTGCGCGAACGCTCCCAGTGGCTGACGTGGCTGCCGGAAATGAATTTCAAAACTTAATTGACATTACGTAGCAATTATAGAGATAGGTAAATAATCTAAAAATACTAATACCTGTACTAAACCAGCATATCATTTAGATAAAACGATTATGTGGCGTGTTGTTGGTACAAGAAAATAATAACTGAATGAATGAATGTAGGAATACTTTTTATTATCCACCATCAATGAAATGAAAAATTAATTTATGGAATGCACAATTTGGCGACCTTATCGATTCATATCGATCTCTTTCTGTCATCCAATAGCGTAAAGGAACGTTTACTAAGTAGGTTCCAGTGCAATAGTAATATACATAATATATGACTAAATCAAATACATACAAAAGACCGTACGTACATACACACATGCACATATTCATATATATTTATATACATAAATAATATATACTATATCTAGTGTAATAGTGTTTTCTAAAGAATGCTAAAGGTACCGACCGCAGACGATAATGAAAGTAAACAATGCGTTCCACCATAAACCTCATTCGAAACTCGGGCTACGTTCGCAAAGCAACATGACGTCGTCGAATCCGCTATCGATCACCAGCAGTAGACGTGAAACAGACGAAGTTGAAGCTCCATAAAAATATTCGGTATTATTAAGGAGCTATGGCCGCGAGGTCAATAAAATTGCGTTCATTAGAAACCAGTCCCGAGACGTTCGCGGCGTCTCCATCTGCCGAGGGCGGCGTCTTCCGCTGCATTGTGCGCGCGCAGCCGTCGTGAGCACGCGCCGGCAATGCAACTGCGGAACCCGCGCCTTTGTGGGGTCATTCCGGCCCCGGCGGGTCAGGGAACTCAAGATGTTCGCATTTCAAAAGTTTAGAAAGAAAAAAACCGCCTCCGATGGTTCTATTTCGCTCAAAGAGACTAGCCTCTTTGGAATCAAACAAAGGCTAACAAGGATCCCTAAGCTTTAAGTAGGAGTCTCTAGAGGTTCATTAGTTTTTTTTTAGATGTTATACTTCTTTTGGCGTCTAAATAAATATATGAGAGTATAATTTTTACGATGCACGTAACAACATTGAACTGATGAAGTTGGTTACTACCAACTTCATCAACTTCACGATATTACCATGGCAACCAATAACAAGTTTTTTAAAATTATCTTTAACTCCAAGTTATTTAATAAAACCGTTATCACTAGCATTGTCTTATTCACGAACAAAAAGAACTGGCACAGGGGATAAAATTTTTAGTTATTTTTCCTTAGTTACGCTAAAGAAGTAGGGTGTAGTGGGGCAATTCCGAAAACGGGTATATACCGAAATCGTTAAATTTCTATTAATTATAATTATATTTCCCTACTAGCAACGTAGGCTAGACAGCATATTTAATAACCACGCCGGCTCAGTCGTAGCGAGTCGCTAGTGACAATATTATGTGTGTGCCAGCAAGTTTTCTTGGACAAGTGTTTTTCGCGTCATTTTTAGTGATTCATAATAACCCTAATCATAATTTATTAAATCATAATCATAATTTAATCATAATCATAATTTATTTCGAAATTTTGGTAAGTTACATGAACAAGTTTTCCTTTTAACCATAGATTATCGTATTATGCGTTTATGTACGAGGAACATAACATTCTAATTGTTATTAATTTTTTTTTTTTTTTCGGAAATACCCTTCCGGGTTTATTCCGATATATTATATTTTCCTTATAACCCCATTTAGCTTTTACATTGTAATTAGCAGTGGTTCTCAAACTTATTGTTATGTATCTCCATTATTAACAAATTTGTTTTACATATCTATCATGTCCCGAAATTACATGAGAAAGAAAATTAAAAAATACACTTCACACGATTTGGCTCAAGCAATCGAAAAAGTTATAAAGGGAGAACTAACTTAATAATCTGCAGCTCAAGTATATAAAATCCTCTTGACGACTCTTCATGAATACGTTAAGAGAAATAAAGCAACAGTCAGGTTTAATGCAAGAATACCTACCGTCATACTTATAGAAGAAAATAAATTAGCAGAACAATTAAACTATGGAAGATGTCGCTGAATATGTGCAGGTAAACAATATTCCGACACCATTTATGAATAATATCCCTGGTTAATTAATTTCCGGAAACGACATAAATTGTCTTTTAAAAAAGTACAGCCGGTAGAATTTGTAAGAAGAAAATGACAGATCTATTCGTCATTGCAGAACATTTCGATTTGCTGGAAGTTTCTTGAAAGTTTCTTGAAGAAAAAGATTATAAATAAAATAAATATATATTACATTCTTTGATCTTCCTCGTCCTTATTTATGTTGAGTTTTCGAATACTTTGTATTATTTAGTACAAAATAAGTGGACAAAACTTCTTAACAAAAAGTTTCCTACAATTGTAACTTAAAGTTTGAGAACCACATACACTTTCAGGGGTAATTACGAAATAACAAAGCTGTAATAAATTAGATTAATGTTTCTATGGACAATATTGCGTATATTTTGTGTAACACATAATTACGACTGAAAAAGTAATATGAACTTTAGGCCAGAGTTCAATAAATACAACTTTTAAAATACTTCAGAATTAAATCAGTATTACTATCATGGGTAGTTCGTAATTATCCCTTTTACGAAAAGAATATTAGCTTAATATTTCAAATGCTCTAATCCAAAACCCCAATTGCATTTTAAGAATTGAATAAATATTTATCACAGTTATTTTCGTAACGCAAACAGATGTAAAACAATTATGGTCTTAGATATAAAACTACTTTCAATAATTAATAGAAAACTGGACCCTTAGTGATGTCATACAAATTTATGTCGGAATTACCCCACTGCACCCTACACTTTTTTATTTTAATTATTATTTGAGATCGTCACCATTTTTATAATTTTTAACGCTAATAAATAAAATTTAAATCATTTGATGTTGTAGCATTACGAAAATTGAGTGCACTGCTCGAGTAATTAAAAAAAATGTACAGAGTGAGTTCATTCGTATATGTCATTTGATTATTTTGAATATTGACATGTATGAAGCAATAACCCCCAATCCTGGTGTCATTGGGACCGGCTGCCCTTGTTTGCTCGGAAGCTAAGCCGATGTAACGGTGTTTGTCCGCACAAATTTATGTGAGTCGTTATGGTCCTGTCACAAATCTACTTATCTACTCCAACCACGCCTTCTGTGAAACGCTCATTGACACTAACGGCTAACCATAGCACCGGCTTGTGATAGTATTATAAAAATATGCAGTATTAATTCAATTTATTATATTAAAAAAATCCTACATTTGTTGCAAGTTGTTATCCTGAGTTATTATTTTTATTTGCTAAAACTTGTTTTGCTGTGTGATAAAAACAATGCAGAATATCATATACCCAAGAAGAGGTTTTCTTCGTCTCTCATTATAGCATTATTTCCTTCGATTTTCGAATTTGTGATACAGAAATTTCCATACTAATTGTAATTTCTTCAATATGCACATAGCAGCGTAATTACATCACCGTAGAGGCAGCCGTATAGTTTCGTTTTTAGGGTTCCGTACCCAAAGTGTAAAACGAGACCCTATTACTACGACTCAGCTGACTGTAAGTTTGTCTGTCTGTCTGTCTGTCCGTCTGTCACCGGGCTGTATCTCATGAACCGTGATAGTAAGACCGTTGAAATTTTAACAGATGATGTATTTCTGTTGCTGCTATAGCAAAAAACAGAATAAAGAAATATTTAAGTGGGGCTCCTATACAACATACTTGATTTTTTGCCGTTTTTATGGCACGTAACCCCATGTACACGAGTCCAACTCGCACTTGGCCGGTTTTTTATTGCCATTTTCAATCACACACTTTCTTAAATGCCAATTGCTCTTCTCTCTGCATGAATTTGTCACATACAGAATTCTCGCAGCATAAACAAAGGGCATACGAAGGGTATATATAGCTTGGTGGTCTAAACTTTCGCAACAGCATCATTTCCCGACAACCGGTGTAACATTGGCCATGTGTTACTCAACTGAAGGCGTATCGGCGCGCACACAGACAAAGCTCAGATGAGAGTATTCGCCGTATCGAAGGTACTGGCATTGTCCATTGTGTCGACGCCTTGGCCCATTGTTCCCGCTGTGTACACAACATCGATCCACTTACATATACACTGTTATGACTCCCAACTACTGATATAGCCAATCTCGCCAACGCTGAAACAAATCCTGCTGCTGTAGACCACTTAAAACTATAAACAGGTCGATAACATGCCATGTAGCGTTTGCGTTTACTAGGTAAACTTTTGATCGGAACGCAACTTGCGGAGAAACTTTTTTTATTAACTTTTTGTCTATTTGGTATTAGTATACTATACATAAAGTATGTATCCATCGGACGGTGTAATGAAGAAATCCTAGAACTCTGACTTAATAACTTGAATACAGCACATTTACAGCGCAACTTTGATATAACACATAAAAATACTTTTTGAACAAAATTAATGAAAATAAAACTAAGAAAAGGAAATAAAGCTACGAGTATCAAGGTGAAAAGACAATAACTCTAACTAACACTACTATTACTAGTTCAAACCTTTCCTCCTTTAAGATTATAAACACATCTCATGATCATTATCAGCATTACATATACACCTCCTCTAAAAGTCTTAACAAACCACTTGCTAATTGCTAGGTAAAAAGGAATAACAACTTATATTCGTATAACTATTTCAATTCCGTCCCGTGTTAATGCCAGAGCGTCATCAGTATAAACCGTTTGCTACATGCAATATTCCCCGCAAAGTCCACATTTCGTCACCAAACAAGATGATTTATTGTCATTATGGATCAAGCAATAACACTGCACCCTTGCCCTTTCCGAATAAATTGCAACATACATATGTGGTAAAGATATTACAGGAAAGGACTTCTTTTACATAACAAAAAAAGATGAATAAAACAATAACAACGAAAATGGTCATTTCATCAAATGTAAATTGGAAACATGGCCAGTTCTGTTTATACAATAATTTTCGTAAGTATTAAATACAAAAAATTTAATGGTGTGATGTCTCCTATTGTAAAGTAAATTAGGGGAAACGGGGCAATATTGCGCGCGAATATTGTAATAAACTACGCTATATTATGAATGTGACAGTCCGCGTGTTGCGCCGACCCCCACACGACACCATTTAAGGGTTAATTCCGTACACTAAGAGAGAGGGTAGTCTTTGCAAAGCCTGTGGACTATTCAAACAATGACATCCGAACATTCATCAATTTCCGCTTTCGTTGTATGGGTAGTTGAACGTCATAAAATTATCAGATAACTCAATACCTAAAAAGATAAGGAGGATCATTATCGTCATAAATTTGTATTTATAAAACAAATTTATTTTTCGATAGTTTAACGTGCCGGTGATTAAAACAAATGAAATCATGAATAGTACTTATAGATTGTTTGTTGCCAGAAAAGAAAATATATAATTACAAAATATGTATTACAGTAAGACCTAGGCGAAAAATCAATAATTGAATAATGAATGGTGGACTTAAAAAAAAGCAAAAATAGCATATTTCGATGCAATTCTATTTTATTCACCACTGTACGATCATTATACCGTTTTTATAAGAGGCCGGAGAGCATCTCAACGAAACATTAACATTCCGCCCCTCGAGCGGCGGTGGCGTTTGTAAGAAAACTGCATTTCCTTTAACACGTAATAAAGCGACTGCACTGACATCAAACACGAATTAACTTTCAGCGACGGCCCGACCCTCGCTATCAATCGTAAGACACGAACAGTATCCGTTAAGTGGTCGATAGGAGCCCGTGGCGATT